TAGAAGTTACGTACGTTAATTCCAATAGAGACTGGCCCGACCCCCAAACTCCACTTTTTGACGACACACAACTATGTTGTAGTAAAAATATTATCTTAACTTTATGATGGTATGCACACACAATTAATAATTAAGAGAAATATCAATAATATTAGGTTTTTAACACTTACATTAGTAGAAAAGATGTCTGGGCACACGGGGATGGGGGTTTGGTTCCGAGGCAGAGGGCAGATTATTGGCCCTCACCTGTATCACGTGTATTAATTGTATCACTATCCACCACAGAGGCTTGCAGGGCCTCTTTGTCAAACCCCTCAAAGTCCATATAAGTCTATATCCTCACTATAATTATCACTATCACTGACTTGGGCCGGCTGTGGTGGGTGGCGGGTGAAGAACTCGGTAATGTTTTGATGACTGGGCGGCCTTGTGCGCATCGTGCCTTCACCGCTTCTCGCGTATATGAGTAGATGAACCGCGTTAAGTGAAAGTTCGGTTCTGGCGAGGCACCGCGTATATGAGAAATCGTGTTAAGTGAAACCGCGTTAAGCGGGGTACAACTGCATAATAAAAAATTGTAAAAATTTTAAAAAAGTGCATAAATATGCATCTAAACCCCTGAAATAAAGAATATCATTAATACTTGTAATAAAAAAACAATAAATTAGTAAAAAAGAAAAAAAAAATTTTTAAATAATGTTCGTTGTAGGAGTTTCGTTCGTTATAGCATTCTCAATTTTATAGGTAAAACCGTTCATTATAGGAATATTCATAGTAGGATCCATTCGTTATAGCATACCCCACTGTATTATTTATGACTAAATATGTAAGCCTAGTGTTTTCCCCCAAACATTTCTCAGAGAGGGAGGAGCCAGCAAGCATGGGAAGAGGGGGCGGGAGTGGAGTCCATTATTTGAATGGACATTAACCGGTGACTGTATTTCTCTTAAATATTAATTGTGTGTGCATACCATCATAAATTTAAGATGTTATTTTTACTACAACGTTGGTATTGTGTCGGTACTGTGTCGGAAAAAGTGGAGTTTGGGGGTCGGCCCAGTCTCTATTTCAATTAATCCCATATGTTCTGTTATTTCATTTACGCATTTCTCGTTTTACGTGGTACTCCGTGGGTTCAATTGACCACGTAAATGAAGACCCAACTGTAATTAAAAAATATATTATTAGTTTGCCACAGAAATTAAAACTCTTTCTTTGGGGAATGTAACGAGTAACAATTTTTGTTTTTTTCAATTGTATTGGAGTAAAAGTATTAGAAAACCATACTTGAGTAAAAGTAAAATTACTAAAAAATTTGAGTACTTGAGTACAGAAATCAAGTAAATTTATTTAGTTACTTTACAACTCTGCTTATGTCACAACATTTCCCCACACTTCCACTGACTTGCAATATAGCAGATTAGAGCCAATGACATTCTATTTTGTAACCTGTATAAGAACAATAACCATGCAAAAAATGCTTGTATTTCAGAGATAGAGGTGGAATGCTTATTTAGCAGCCTAGCTACTATTGCAAGGTTCCTTGGGCCATTCCAGGAGTCTCCCCCTAATTCGTGAGTGCTTCGGAATCATGTTTCAATACTCTCTGGGTTCATACATCATGGAGAGAGAGGACTTGCAACACTAACTGTACCAGGTGAAACTCTAGGTAACTGTACATAAAAAATTATGTGGATGAAAATAGTAAAAATCTAATCAATTCAATATGACAATAATCAAGCAGACAATAAGGCAACATTACAGTATAATTAATTTACTCATAGGAGAAGAGGCTGTCAGAGGACATCGAAACTCTTTTGTTTTCATTAAAGTTCCTGTCTTTTAATTTGGGTATAATTCCCAAATACAGTACAGTGGTCCCTCGGTTAACGAGTGCCTCGGTTAACGAGATTTCGGTTAACGAGTTACCTTCCATAAGATTCTTAGCTTCGGTTAACGAGCAATCCCTCGATTAACGAGTTTTTTATGAGCCGACCTGAGCATGTTTTCGCTTGCATTTGGCGGTCCACCAGCTGTAGTATTAGTCCGCCAATACAGTAATCGGTTCTAGGGCTTAAATTCCTTACCATTTTAGTAAATATCAAGAAGCTTATACTATTCAATAATTTTAAAAGTTTAATATTAATTTTTTTAGTCATTTTAACAATTATTGAACATAATTGAAGGGAAGGTCACTAGTTTAATGCGCGCCATCCAGCCTGCCAACACACCACACAGGCGTCAGTCTTTGTGTCTTTTCAGTGGAGGTAACATCTTGCTTGAGACTCTCTTCAACTAAACGCTTTTTTTCTGTGTTTCCAAGCAAATTATTGGTCATTTTGAAATATATTTTACATATTGACAATATATATTGCAGTGCAGTGTTGATTTAAAGAAAATAATCTTGAATTACACCAAGAGAACTAAAATTTTATGGGTGAAATGGTGCCATGGGGTGACTTCTCTTCCACCCCAATGCCTTCTCTTCTCCCTTCTCCTCCACCCCCATTCTAATTCCCATCATCATCATCATCATCCAGGAGCCTTCTACATACACACCTCAAAGTAAGTGTACTTTTCTACCTTTTTTGTTGAATTTAGGCAATTTTCGGTGAGCTGGAACCAATTACCCAAAAACCCATTGAGACAATGGTTTCGGTTAACGAGTTTTTCGGTTAACGAGCAACCTTCTAGAACGGATTGTGCTCGTTAACCGAGGGACCACTGTACTGAATATACATAAAGAAGATAGTGTACAGTATAGAGTTAGGGTGCCCTACCACAGACTGTTGTGTGAATTGCACATGTGTAATACAGCTCCAGAAGTGAGGTAACGTGTTACTGATCAGGTCACCTAACTTAGGTGAGCTTCCGGATTTTAGTACATCTTAAGCTGGATGTAGCCATGTGGCTTAGCAGTGTTGGGAGAGGGTTGCACCACATGCAGTCAGGTGAGATTTCCTATTTTCTCATATCTTTTATGCATAATTCAAACCTTGTTATAGTTGAAGTGTTGGATAATTATTTATGAGTGTCATACTAGCAGAAACTGCTGGCTACCATTAGTAAACAACAATTCTCACAAAATCCTGCTGCAATAACAACAAAATCTGAGAAGCACTTTAATGGGTTTGACTTAATTAAACTGAATGTAGGCATGGATCTTTTAAAGAATTCTAACATTCACCAATATGGAAATAATTGCGGGGATATTAGGAAAAAACATACAACACTTTCAAAAGCATATTTCACCCTACCCATCCAATCAATTAAAGAGGTTTGCTTACTGTCTGCAACATGCCATCCAGTTGACTCACCTCATAGCTGATATGACGCACATGATCCCGGGCGAAAATTGATATTCACCTGTTCTTTGCTGAATCAACATGTAATATACTGTAAATTCAGAGACAGTGCAAGAAAGTTATTAGTTACCTGATGACACCACAACATTGGTGTGAGTCTTGCGTACGATGGAAGTTGAACCTCCTAGTTTAGATGCAACTGTTGTCGCTGGAGATGCCATTACCTGCCTCGGGCTGCTCACAGTTGAAGCCGTCACGCCAGTGGACCGAGATGATGGCATACTTACAGCTGTGGCTACAACAGGACGGTTCGTTGCCATTGTGACAACAGCAGTTCCCTGTTTATTTTAATTTCCAATTAATGAAAAAACATTTGCAAGTAAAATACAACATGTCCAATCCCAATTGATTTACTTGGAGCTATAATGAGCCTAAAACTAGGCATTATTATTCAACTTTGACACCTGTACAGTCACAATCCAGTTTCTCACCCCCTCCCCCCTGGCTGGAGAGAAGGCAAAGCCAAAGTTGAAAAAAGGCAAGGCGAACGGGCATGCACTTTGCTTGTACTGTCGTTAAATAATAATACAGTATTCATAAAATAAATATACTGTAGTCCAAACAACATACCATATCATGTCAATCTTTTTAATCATATTTCATACCTGTACTTCTCTGCTTTGCCTAAGTGACTGTGTTGAGGTGCTGGTGTGTGAGGCCCACCATTATCATGGATCATCACCAAGCTACTGAACAAGTGTATGTTAATTCACCTGGCTCTTCTTCAACCTTGGCTTCACCTTCCCTACAGTCAGAAGGTAAAATAACTTTGAATTGTGACTGTACAATGGTATCACTATATGAGGCCTACAGCAAGGTGTTCTATCAACTTTCATCTGAACTGATCAAACCTTACCCAAAAACAGCTCATTATATATATTCTTGGGTTGTTTAACCTTCAACCTCAAATAATCCTTAAAATGTGCCAAAACTTAAAGATAAAAAAGTACAGTCTCTCCTCGACTCAAGACGGGGTTCCGTCCCGACGAACAGGTCTTAAGTCGAATTGGTCGTAAGTCGAAAAGGCGAAAATAATACATAGGAATTCGAAAATGGGTGTCTCTCTTTCTTCTCAGCACCACGAGAACTCTCACTTTTATGCTTGCCAGCCATTTTAAAGGGAATTACAAACAAAAATTTGTCAGTAAGCAGCGCGATCACTAACATCAGGACTCGATAATACATAATGTGAAAAATATTTTATACGACCACGGCCGTCGTATGTCCAGGTTGTCGTAAGTCGAGTATGTCGTAAGTAGAGGAGAGACTGTATAGGGAAATTAACTTAGAATTGAAGGTGCAACAATCACATGACCATTATTAAGAAGTAGCAGTAGAGAAAAAAATATAATGTCTCCCTCATATGGAGAAGATATAACTCAGAAATTATGATGCGTAATTCCATTCAACAAAACACTGTTTAGTAAGATCTACTATAATGTGTATTTATCACACAAATTAGATATAATGTAAGAATGTATTAGGGAACACATTTGTTACGATGCTGATGCGAATTTAATATTACGCAACTGAGTAAACATAAGTACAGGGGTCCCCGACTTATGAACGTCTGACTTACGAATGAACGCCAAAACAAACGGGGTTAAACTTGAAATTTACATTATTTACCTGATGACTTATTTTTTTACTTTCATTAGCTGCTCCCCGACTTACGGCGGCGTTAGAGACCCAAATCCAGGAAGGAAGTCGAAAATCCAAAAAATATTACATAGAAAATCTAAAATTAAATACAATACAGTAAAAGTAATCAATAATAAAGAACGAATACAGTGTTACTGTACACTTACCTTTAATGTAGTCAGCTGAATGCACACGGGGCCCCCATAATTTTCTACATAGAGACTACATTAACTGGATGTAGCAGAGGAGGAGACAGGGCTGGGTGGGTTATCAATGTCGATTCCTTCATACAGGTTTATGTACCGTGGAAACTTGCTGGTTGAAGGTATTGAATCATCTTTAGGGAGTGAAGAGGCAGCACTGGTGGGGCGTGAGGAAACAGCAATGGGGGACTTCTTAAAATATATGTCCAATTAAGACTGCACAGTATGCTTTTTCTTTTCATTATAAATTTCCCTGTAGCAAGCAAGTGCATCTTGGACCATTCTGTCAACTTTGGCAAAACGCTCAACATTTTGACCCATTCCGTCAAAAATTTGCATCCCCTTATTAATTGTAGCAAATGCCTCTGCCATTTGCTTCACTATAAAATTTTGCGGGGTGCAGGTTCTTCTATATATTGACCCTCTTCTTCCTCTGCATTCTTCAGTGCTTCCAGTTCAATAAGATCCTCATTACTTTGCTCTTCTGCTACACTTTAAACCAACTGCTCAACATCTTCATTATCAATTTTTATTCTAGCTCAAGCTGTTTACCCAACTCCACTATCTTGTTACTAATCTCAGAAACTGCTTCATCTTCATTAAATCCTCTGAAACTGTTCACATATCTTTTCAGGACTCTCTTCCATATTCCATTCATGAACTGACCTGTAACCTCATCCCATGCTGCAGCTATGTTCTTTATACATTTCAAAATGTTGTAATCCTTCCAAAAACTCTCTGAGCGTTTTCTCACCTTCAGCAGCAGTAACAGCCTGAGCGACGGTCGTAAGTAAATAATTTGCTTTAAAAGCTGCAATAGCACCTTGATCCATGGGTTGGATGATAGAGGTAGTGTTAGGTGGAATGTAGACTACCTTAACATCAGGGTGCATGTCGTCCAGGTGTGGTGGGTGTCCCGGAGCATTATCCAAAATTAACAAAGTCTTGAATGCAATCCCTTGCGGCAGACAATACTCCTTGGCTCGAGGAATGAAACAAGTCATGAACCAATTCTCAAACAGTACTTGGGTCATCCAGGCTTTCTTGTTACTGCGCTAAAACACTGGGAATGTGTGTCTGCTGACATGTTTAAAAGCCCTGGGTTCTCTGAATGATAGATCATGAAGGGCTTTATCTTGAAACCAGCTACATTCCCCCCCAACAGAAGTGTAATTCGGTCCTTGAAGGCCTTGAATCCTGGCATTGTTTTCGCCTCTTTGTGGATGTATGACCGTTCTGGCATGTGCTTCCATAATAATCCAGTTTCATCCACATTGAATATTTGCTCAGGCAAATAATTTCCCTCCACGATGAAACGATCTAGCTCCTTCTTAAAGACTTTGGCAGCACCCACATCAGCACTTCCTGCCTCTCCACTCACCTTTACATCATGTAAACTGTAGCGGCTCTTAAATCTGTTAAACCACCCATGTCTTGCTGTGGACGTTTGCTCGCACTCATCTCCTGCTCGCTCCTTCAGGCTTTTGAAAAGGCTTCTTACCTTAGCCTGTAGGGTTAGAAGGCTTAAGGGTACACGCTTTTGTATCTGATCTTCCATCCACACCACAAGTAATTTTTCCATCTCATGAAGAGGACCTTGTCTTTTATTCTTTATTATTGTTCCCTTTATAGGTGCTGATCCTTTCACTGCCTCACGAATTCATTCCTCACGAATACGAGAATAAGAGAAGCCTAGGTCGCATGAAATGGTTGCTACAGTTTTTCCATTTTCATACTGCATTATTATCTTCAAAGCGTGTACTCTTAAGCCTTCTAACCTTACAGGCTAAGGCAAGAAGCCTATTCAAAAGCCTGAAGGAGCAGGCAGGAGATGAGTGCGACAACCTTCACAGCAAGTCATGGGTGGTTTAACAGATTTAAGAACAGCTACAGTTTACATAATGTTAAGGTGAGTGGAGAGGCAGCTACTGCTGATGTTGGTGCTGCCGAAGCTTTTAAGGAGGAGCTAGATCGTGATCGTGGAAGGAAATTATTTGCCTGAGCAAATATTCAATGTGGATGAAACTAGATTATTCGGGAAGCGCATGCCTGAACGGACACACATCCACAATGAGGCAAAAACAATGCCAGGATTCAAGGACTGAATTACACTTCTGTTGGGGGGGAATGTTGCTGGTTTCAAGACCAAGCCCTTCATGATTTATCATTCAAAGAACCCCAGGGCTTTTAAACATGTCAGCAAGCACAGACTGCCAGTGTTTTATCACAGTAGCAAGAATGCCTGGATGATCCTAGTACAGGTAGTTCTGCTATAACGCGATAATTGTGTTCTTGTAAAATATCGTGTTATAGAAAATCGCGTAATAGAAATAACAGGGCTTATGGAGAAAATAGGGTTCGGAGCAGATTACTCGAAATCGAAAAAATTTAGTAGTTAGCCTAACACAAAGGATAGCACAGTCTAAATAAAGGTTACATTCATATCTAATAATGAAATCATACAGTAAATGTAACACTTTACCCTGAAAAAATATGAATGTAACTTGATGGGGGAGAAGGGTGATTTTGAGGTTGATAACATCGAGCTTCTCTTCAAGTGTTATATCCTTTCTTTTACGATCATCACAGGGAATTCTATCACCAGAAAGCTTCTTGGAGATATTCTTCTTTACCATATTCACAGTTAATACCACAAAATTGGAGAGATAGTAAGCAAAAATCGCGTTATAGCAAACAAGCGTTCGCGTTATACAAATATCGTTCCTAATTCATAAATCGCGTTAGAGCAAATTCGCGTTATCAAAACACACGTTATAGCAGAACTCACTGTACTGTTTGAGAATTGGTCCATGAATTGTTTCATTCCTCGAGCCAAGTAGTATTGTCTGCAACAAGGGATTGCATTCAAGATTTTGCTGATTTTGGATAATGCTCTGGGACACCCACCACACCTGGACGACATGCACCCTGATGCTAAGGTAGTCTACATTCCACCTAACACTACCTCTATCATCCAACTCATGGATCAAGGTGCCATTGCAGCTTTAAAAGCAAATTATTTAAGTACGGCCTTTGCTCAGGCTGTTGCTGCTACTGAAGGTGAGAAAACGCTCAGACAGTTTTGGAAAGAGTATAACATTTTGAAATGTATAAAGAACATAGCTGCAGCATGGGATGAGGTTACAGGTTAGTGCATGAATGGAATATGGAAGAAAATACTGAAAAGATATGTGAACAGTTTCAGAGGATTTAATGAAAATGAAGTTATTTCTGAGATTAGTAACAAGATAGTGGATTTAGGTAAACAGCTCAGTTAGAAATTGAAAATGAAGATGTTGAACAGTTGGTTGAAAGTGTAGCAGAAGAGCTAAGTAATGAGGATCTTATCAAACTGGAAGCACAGAAAAATGCAGAGGAAGAAGCGAGTCGAAATGTAGAAGAACCTGCACCCCCCAAAAATTTTTCAGTGAAGC